TTCAGGCCATTGTTTGGAATGCCATATTTGGTTACAGAGTAGATGAAGTAACTTTACGCCGGTTTCTTCTGTGGCTTTAAGCATTTCTGCTGTTATCATATCTGGACCTGGTGCTTTGTTATATTTGAGCTTGTTGATAGCCTGTCTTACTTCATTTTCGAGTATATCAGGTTCTTCTTCCACCTCGTCAGAGATTTGGCTAACAAGCTCTTGGCGTTGATCATCTTTATATAGGTCCCTGCAATACGATCTCCATGTCTCTTCTATGTCTTCTCTGTTTGTTCTCAGGGTTCCAGTGTTATCTTCAATGGCCCAAGTTCTGGCTCTGAAGTCTCTTGTCAGGTAGCGTATTTTTCTAAATAGATCTCTCGGCTGATTATTCTGACCATGTCTCTCAATTTCTTTGCATATACTTTGATAGTACTGTTTTTTTGTCGGCCTTACATCTTCGTTTTATTTCTTTATTGAGGTTTCTTAAACTAGCTTTTTCCCTTTCACTATATACACCACTTTTACAAAGATTTCTTCTATTCTCAATTATTTTAAGAGTTTCATCTGTTATCCGGTGTTTCCGTTTCACCGGATCATTTTTCTTTGAGCGATCCACTGGTGTTGTTACGCAATGTTTAACAGTCTCCCATATTTCTTGTGATGTTCCGTTACGAATAGAGGGCATACTTTTCTGTACTTCCTGTAGAAGGTCATCTTTCTTTTTCTTAGTTCTATCCTCTTTATCTCTCTTTGTTTGTTGGGTGCTTTAAGTTTAAGCATTACTTTAGCTACGAGGAGAGTATGATCGGATCCGCATATCGCCCCTGGATATGATCTGACTGTTTGAATGGACGATCTCCAGCGAATATTGGTGAGGACGTAATTTCTAAATCTATCTCCAGGACTTTTTCAAGTATAAAGTCGACGTACATGGTGTTTAAATCGAGTATTCATGATAGAGTAGTTTTTATATAAACGCAGAACTGGTTTTTATATAAACGCAGAAATCACAAAAAATCGCCGATATAACTTAATTAACCTATTAAATGCCATCAATGTCAAAATTTCATAACAGTGGAGTAAACTTGCTTTAGGTTCGACCAATTACAAACAAACATTGCGGCGCTGCAAATTTGAATTACTCCTCCTGGTTTTAAAAACAGAGTATAGCAGTCGATCTCCGGACGCTTGCAGTTTATGTGGTAGATCCCATTCCCAAGTCTGAGCACCACTGCTTTAGAGCCTTTAAATACCTATATAAGGTTTTTTCAGCTTTTTTATTTCTGGACTCAGGTATACAGAGTAGGAAAAAGTTTATGGTCGGTATGGACCTTACGTGAGATGGAGTGAGAAACAGCTGTTTAAAAAGAGAGAGGTATATTAGGTCCGCCCTTTATATCGCCGAACATGCAAGCGTGGAAATAATAAAAAAGGGGAAGTTCAACGTTGCCAAACTTATTGGTTTTATTTGACCTGTTGTCTTTTTTGCATTCAAATTTTGAACAATGTTCTAAGATAATCAAATTTGGGAGAAATTTATTTAAATGGCAGCTTACTGTTTTTTTTTATTGGGAATATGCCACAAGTTTACTTTACAATAAGTGTAATATGACATTTTGATTTCCACGGTTATCGTTTTATATAAATAAAATTTATTAATGTTTCGTATTTTAAGTACGATTTGCGAATTAAAAATCTAAACATCAAAATAAGCTTATTTTAAAGTCACATTGTGCCTTATTCCCAATATGAAATGATAAACTGCTTACAATAACGCCACATTAAAAAATATTCATACACGATAATTATTTGACAACGTCTGTCTGGTCAAAATAACGAGTAACGAGTAGTAGAGGTGGGTCGTGGCAGGTGCCGGGTTAAGAACCTAGGCGCAAATTTTCGGGCCAATATTTTTTAAATGCATTCATTTCTTTCGAATCCTAAGAAAACCAATAAATATTTTTGAAAAATTTAAGCGAAGAATGAAACAATGCATTATTACCGAGAGCCTAAAGTCCCTGAAAACTTCTATAATGTTTATTTTAATAAGTTATAGGGATGAAAAAAAATAGTGTGATTTTTAATTTCAAATATCTCATTCCAAAAACTTTTTGTTTATTCTAAGGGACTTTCGGCCCTCGGTAATAATGTAATCTTTCATTTTGCACTTAAATTTTTCAAAAATATTTGTTAGTTTTCTCAGGATTCCAAAAAAAATAAATGCATTAAAAATTTTAATTTTCGTAAACAAGTAACTATGACTGTTTAAAAGTAGTTTTAACGAGTATCTACATAAACAAACATAATGGCTATTATCGTTTATGTGTATATTTATTGAAGTGAAAGAAACTAATGATATATTTATTATAACTTAAAAAATATACTAAACAATACAAATAGTAAATCGTACTTACATTTACATTACACGTTATTATTAAATCGCGAATAGTCTAAATTGACGTTAAAAAACATTAGTTTTTCTACTTTACTTCTTATTAACCGTGTTCTTTTTTTATTTCAAATTAAGCTAGATTTTTAACATGTGTTCACATTGACAATACTTTATGAGTATAGTGGTTAAGTTAGGATATACATGGCGATGGTTTTTCTACCGTTGTAATGGACTCTCGGTACAGGTGTACGTGTAGATGACTCATCTCCAATTAATTGATCAAAAATACACCATGAACTTAAGTCATCTTTATTGGTTTCTTTTTCTTGTACTGGTTGATTTTCAATAGTACAATCTTCTTGTTCGTTAATTATAGAAGTAACCAGCTTCTTAACTTTTCTTTTATTTTTTAGCTTCACTTTTATAAGAAAAACCCTGCACTTTAAATGGTGAATACATAAATGTACATAATGACAATGTGCCAATCTGTTCTATCCCTTAAATTTTTTTTGCTAAACCCGATATTAGTAATTGTACTACGTCGGATACTATGGATGTAAGGTTACCGTTTGCTAAAATTTTATTGCAAGGTTCTTGCAGGCAGCGGACCATAACAATCACTGAACTACCCTTCAAGTATTTTGGTCACTAATTGTTCTTGTTATTTCTTTAAACCGCCGTAAAATTTGGGAAGTTGAGAACAAATAATCCAGTATTCTTTATTTAGATTTGGTCTAAGTCTAAGTCTGTATTATTTAATATCGATGTGGAACGAATTGCCTCTTCTAACTCGGTCATTCTTTTTAACATGTAATAGGCGAAGTTCTTCCTAGTTTCTACGTCTTGGATTGGCCGTTTGGGAACTTTGCTATGTTGTAATTAATACTTTAAAAGCCTTTCTGAAGATAAGGTACTTTTTTAAAATGTGTTTTTTGCAGAATTGTCAAAAAAATGGCTTTTTATTTGATCTATTTGTACACGACAGCATTTAAGTGCGTCCTTCACTTTAGAATGGTTTCATTCTAAAACATCTTTAATAGCTTTGAACATATTTGAGGCATTATCAGCTACTGCAAAATTTACTTTTCGTTTTAGACCCCACTGATTAATAATTTCACTAATCGCTATTTTCTGAATTATGGTTTCCAGAAAATGGCAGCAGCCTAATAAAACCGTTTTAAATTCTAAATTTTCGGTTAAATATTGTCCTGTTAATGGGAAGTAACTCTCAGTTACTCCAGATGTCCAGAGGTCAGTAGTAATACAGATATTTTCTACTTTTTTAACAACTTGTGATCTAATAATTTGCTCAGTTTTGACATAACATTCCTGAAGTAATGAAAGTGAAGTTTTTCTTGTTGGCGGTTTATATCCAGGAATCCACCCTGCAAACTTTTTAAAATCTGGTTCTTCAACTATGGAAAATGGATGAAACGAGTCTTTGCATAAGTTTAGTAAATCTTTAAAATCAACCAGTACAAGAAAAAGAAACTGATAAAGATAACTTAAGTCCATGGTGTATTTTTGATGAATTAATTGGACATGACTCATCTAAACATACACCTGTATCGCGAGATATAAAAGAAGTCGACATGTATTTGTCTGATCATATATTACCAACAAAAAATTTCGAACGGAGATTGGAACTGTCCATAACCGTGGTGGAGAAACAGTCTCCATGTATAACCTAACTTAACCACTATATTCATAAAATATTGTAGTATTGTAACAAAATCTTTTCCTTGTGAACACATGTTTAAAATCTGGTTTGATTTTAAATAAAAGAAGAACACGGTTAACAAGAAAAGTGGAAAAACTTATGTTTTTAAATGTCAATTTAGACGATTCGCGATTTAATAATGTGTAATGTAAATGTAGGTACTATTTGTATTGTTTAATTTATTTTTCAAGTTATAATGAATATATCCTTCGTTAGATTCTTTCACTTCAATACTTATGCACATAAACGATAATAGCCAATATGTTTGTGTACTCGCTAATTTGAATACTGGTAAACAATCAACTAGTTACAGTTTACGAAAAACAGTTCCGATAAAAATTTAAAAAACGGGAGGACCTACCTGTAGTTTCTTAGGTATATTAGGATCGGAACCAGAGAATATGTAAAATATGTCTGATCGGAACTATTCATCTCACTAATGGGCAATGAGTGTTAAAAATATTAATTATGGAGGGGGGACCAAGGAGAAATATGATTGTTATCGTTGTCTATTCGCTGAAAATATGATTTTATATCTGCGTTAGATATCCTGTTAAATTTTACCATACCGACCATAAACTTTTACCTACACTGTATATAAACACACCATAAAACTAATATAACTATTCTCCAGATCAAGGGCAAGAGAGGCCCTGGATACAGAAGTATATCCTTTTTGGCCAATCTTACGAAATAGACTAGTCTATTTTGAGCTGCTGGAAATAAAATAAGATGGGTCAATGAGGTTGCCAACATTACAATGAGAATAACATTTGTAGAAGATAGAACCAAAACCAACTAAATCAGCTCTGAAACATTATTTCAAAAATTATGTTTTTATACTGCTGAATATCTATTCGTATTTTAGAATAATTCGTATTAAATCTTTAAACTTACCTTATCAAGAGCTGCTGCAAATCCAGCCGGACTTAAAAGAGACAGTGCCCATATTAATTCAGGATGTTTACCGGTGACAAGCTGCTCGACAAAATATAGTACCATTATTATTATCAATATAAAGGAACTTAGCACTCCAGCAGTCTAAAAATTAATCATTATTTTAAACATTATACAAGTTTTTAGTATTTAGAGTAGATTTACGGAACATTAAATAAATAGTTTTAAGATTTTGATTGTTGTCATGTTCTTTCTGAATGATAGTAAGATGAGTAAAACCTAGATCATACTCAAAACTTACCCGTAATTTTACGTTGAGTCCAGTTAAGGCTTAGAGATTTTATGAACTTGTTTAAAACATAGATTGTGCAGCTGATAAATTTTAGACATATCAAAATTTATTTAAATTATTATTGAACAATATAAATGATACCGAAATAATCGGTTTCTATTTGGGTTGCTTGATAGTGGCTGAAAACTTCGCGTGGCTGGACGAGAAATGAGAGTGTTGACCACTGAATTCGGCGGAGTGATGATGTGACTGGGCATTAAAATATCGGTTTGTATGAGTGGGTTTTCGGTACACGGAATAAGAAAAACTGTGAGGTGAGTTTTTCTGAATAACGACATCAAGGAATGGCAAAGACGCTTCAGACTCGACTTCCATCGTGAATTGAATACTTGAATGTATTCCATTCAGGTAGAAGAAGAAGAGATCTAACGCGTCCCTACCATGAGGACAAATGAAAAAAGTGTCATAAACATACCGTAACCAGCAGGTGGGTATGAGGACAGGACTGCTCTTTCGAAATGTTCCATGAAAATATCAGCTATTACGGGAGAGAGGGGAGATCTCATTGGGGCACCTATGATTTGACAATAGAAATGATTTTGGAACGAAAAGTATGTATTACACATGCAGTGTTTTATAAGAGATAGGAAATATGATGTTTAGAGTCCAAGATGGAAAAGGTTTCATCGATGGAAATGTTGGTGAACAAAGAAACAATGTCAAAACTAACTAGTATATCTGAGGGTGAGATAGAGATATTTTTCAGAAGATCAATGAAATGAAAATAGTTTTTGACAAAAGACGAAGCTTTTTCGGCTAATAGTTGTAAGAATAAAGTAAGATGTTTTGCCAATTTCTGAGTGGGGCAGTTGTATGCACTGACGATGGCTCTTAGAGGAACATTGGGCTTATGGATTTTTGGAAGGCCAAATATCTTTGGAATTCGAGATGACTTTTCTCTGGGTATAAGAGATTTTTTTATGTCTGGAGGTAGAGTAGACTTATTTATAATGGTTTTGGTAGTTTTTTCTAGATATGTGGTGGGATCGTTTGGGGCGCGTTTGTATTATGTTGAATTGAGAAGTTCGAACATTTCGTCGAAATAATTAGAAGAGTTGAGAATGACGGTGGCATTACCTTTGTCGACCGGAAGGATGACAATGTCAGGCTTGTTATAAAGTTCTTTGAGGGCACGTCTTTCTGAAAGACTGATATTTGACGGTGGAGGTTTGGAAGTACGGAGACTTCTGGCAACATCTTATTTGGCAATTTCGGCTTGGACGGAAGGGAGATGAAAAATAGCTTCTTCAGTTTGACAAATAGTTTTCTCTGTTGGTATGGAATACTTGGGGCACATTGTGAGAGGTGAAAAGTACGAACTTTTAAGAAACATCATGCAGGGCAAAATTAAGGGCAAAAGAAGTGTGGGAAGAAGAAAAATATCGTGGCTTCGTAATCTACGTGAATGGTTCGGATGTAGTTCGATTGAACTTTTCAGGCGCGCTGCTAACAAAGTCGCAGTGGCCATGATGATTTCCAATCTCCGCTAGGAGTGGCACGAGAAGAAGAAGTTGGTATGGAAAGAGGAGTGACAGAAAACTTAAAGCCTTTTGATAGAGCTTTGGTAGCAGAATCGGATATCTGATATCTGGAAGTTGGTCCAGTTTGCTTTTCTGGGTTTGAGTTTTGTTGTCAGAAATGTGTTGGGGTTTTTGGTAAGAAAGACGATCGAAAGTGTCCCATAATAATGGGTGGATATTGTAAAAGTGAATGTCATTGAAGGTTTTAAGAAGTTGATAATGTGTTGAATCTAAGTTGCGGCGTGTGGAAAGAATTGAATTTCCAAGAAGCGAAAAACCAGTTGCTCTAAGGATTTTGGAAATAGATGGAGATTTAGTGTGATGTTTAACTTGAAGAGATTTTGGAATGACTTGATGGTCACGACATGATTTAAGAAAAGCAAGATCACAGAGAAGACGGTATTTGCGTGTTAGAAGATTAGAAAAGGATTTAGTGAGAATGAAAAATTCCTTCCGTAGAGGGGAATAAAATGTTCGGATATATTTCCACGGTCAGATGAATGAAAATCACTAGGTTCTAGGGAAGAACCTCGTTGAGAATTTAATGCTCCACGTTTCGGCTCCCATTTTGGCGCCATTATCAAGAGGGATACGGTTCGGTTTGAGTTCGGGGTCTCAATCTGCCTACTCCTCTCACTCGAGACGTACCAGTATCGTGTTCTGTATTAAAAATACAGGAACTGTCTCTCGGCACTGAAGTCAAGTCTGCCTACTCCTTAGTGTCGAGTGACAACCGGTTTTACCCTGTATATATATATATATATATTATATATATATATATATATATATATATATATATATATATATATGTATATATATATATATATATATATATATATATATATATATATATATATGGGAATCACTAGGTTCTCGGGAAGGACCGCGTTGAGAATTTACTGCTCAAGCATTAAATTCTTAACGCGGTTCTTCCCGAGTAACCTAGTGATTTTCATTCATCTGACCGTGGAAATCTATCCGAACATATATGAGCATAATATATATATATATATATATATATATATATATATATATATATATATATATATATATTATATATATATATATATTGATGTCATTGGCAATATGAGTGCTTTCATGGCATTGACCCCAAATTCTTACAACCCTGAATATTCTCTTATTCTAACCTTAAGTATAAATCTACAACCTCTCATTAAATATATAGGTATTTGGTCTTACACATATTTATCGCTAGTCCCCATAGCTCATATTCTTTCTTTAAATTCCTTATCATATATTGAATATCCTCTCTGTCTTGGGCAAAAATGACTTGGTCCTCTGCGATTGGGACAGTACTACAAAGAAGTAACGAAAGAACACAAATACTGCAAAGGATACTACAAGGATCAATCACTATAAGCAATAAGACAATATTAAAAGATAAAAAAATAAAGCATCAAAATAAGAATATATCAACCAATAATAGTAGGCTTGTTTATTAAGAGGAAGAAATGTACGAAAAACAAAAGAAGGGTCATAGTTTATTCGTCTTCCGGGTTTGGACCGTGTCATTTGTGAGTGACTCAAAAGTATGTTCATCTCGACGTTTCGCTACAATTGTATGTAGCTTCTTCAGGAGAACAAAGAAAAAGAAAACAAAAGACAGGAAGATGGGTAGTTAGCAACGGTAACTCAGTTACTCAATGCAACCAGAGGCGAATACTAACTACCAAGATGGGCATTTGGTCACAGTAACTCAACTACTCAACGCAGCCAGAGGTGAAAACCAAATGCCAGGACAGGGATTCACGTCCAACAGCTCAGAACACTAACGCGTCGAGAGGCGGGGAGTGAATCCGACGATTACTCCGCTACCGCTCTATTTATAGTCGCGGTGCCTGTCGTGTCGGGACGTATCGGCACACTTCGTGGCGCGAACGTCAAGAAGCGCGCGCTGGCCAATCATGTGGCTGCATCGTGGTGGCGGGACCGGACGGCGGCTCTAGACTGAGATTACAGATGGGAGACAAGTAGTATCCTTCCTCTCGATTGATATTATGGGGATTTTTTCGGATCTCTAGAGATTCGCGGATTTTGCTGGAATAAAAGAAGGGGCTCTTAGTAATAATATGGGTTTTTTCGAACAATATGGAATGACCGGTTTCTTGGCAGTGTTCTGCAACTACAGAATGGGAGAAAAGACCTGATCGAATGCATCTTTGATGCTCTTGAATCCGAGTTTTGACGGAACGACCAGTTTCTCCAATATACACATGTCCACATGAACAAGGAATAGAATAGACACCACAGGAAGATAGGGGCGGTAATGGGTCCTTAGGAGAGGGTAGATATTGTGAGATTTTCTTGGGTGGTCGAAAAGTAGTCCTGATACCTTCTTTGCGAAGAATTTTGCCAATCCTATCAGTGACATTTCGAATAAACGGAAGAAAAGCCACAGGAGTATTACCCGAAGATTCTGAATTTGTCGTCCTAGGGTGTAAAGGGGGATGTAGATGTCGGTGTGTAATATTTTGTTGTCGGTGGCCCCATGGTCAACATACCCTTTCTCCCTTCCTAGATCATCTTAACTCACAACATCCGAGTATAAAATTCACAATGGAAGTAGAAAATAATCGGTCCCTTCCCTTTCTAGATGTGTTAGTCACCTCCAAGCCCAATGGCCGATTGGGTCACTCTGTTTATAGAAAAAAGACTCACACGAATCGTTACCTACATGCTTTATCATACCACCATCCCGCCCAAAAGAATTCTGTGAGCAACTCTCTCATCCATCGGGCCATTTCGATTTCTGAACCCGACAACCTTAGAGAAGAACTTGGCCATCTGCAAAAAACCCTTGTCGCCAACGGTTACTTAAGTCCACAATTCAAAATATTATACACCGACATCTACATCCCCCTTTACACCCTAGGACCGACAAATTCAGAATCTTCGGGTAATACTCCTGTGGCTTTTCAAAGTATACTCAAAGAAGGTATCAGCACTACTTTTCGACCACCCAAGAAAATCTCACAATATCTACCCTCTCCTAAGGACCCATTACCGCCCCTATCTTCCTGTGGTGTCTATTCTATTCCTTGTTCATGTGGACATGTGTATATTAGCGAAACTGGTCGTTTCGTCAAAACTCGGATTCAAGAGCATCAAAGATGCATTCGATCAGGTCTTTTCTTCCATTCTGCAATTGCAGAACACTGCCAAGAAACCGGTCATTCCATATTGTTCGAAAAAAACCGTATTATTTCTAAGAGCCCCTTCTTTTATTCCAGGAAAATCCGCGAATCTCTAGAGATCCGAAAAAATCCCCATAATATCAATCGAGAGGAAGGATACTACTTGTCTCTCATCTGGAATCTCAGTCTAGAGCCGCCGTACGGTCCCGCCACCACGATGCAGCCACATGATTGGCCAGCGCGCGCTTCTTGACGTTCGCTCCACAAAGTGTGCCGATACGTCCCGACACGACAGGCACCGCGACTATAAATAGAGCGGTAGCGGAGTAATCGTCGGATTCACTCCCCGCCTCTCGACGCGTTAGTGTTCTGAGCTTTTGGACGTGAATCCCTGTCCTGGCATTTGGTTTTCACCTCTGGCTGCGTTGAGTAGTTGAGTTACTGTTACCAAATGCCCATCTTGGTAGTTAGTATTCGCCTCTGGTTGCGTTGAGTAACTGAGTTACCGTTGCTAACTACCCATCTTCCTGTCATTTGTTTTCTTTTTCTTTGTTTTCCTGAAGAAGCTACATACAATTGTAGCGAAACGTCGAGATGAACCCACTTTTGTGTCACTCACAAATGACACGGTCCAAACCCGGAAGACGAATAAACTATAATTCTGACTCAGACCGTGGAAGCCTACGATTTCAAAAGAAGGGTCTTTAAAAAAAAATTAGACTGAATATGATTACAACCTAGGCAACCAATTCAAACGAAATAAGATCGTTAATGGATTTTGAAATACATAATATACTGAAAGGAGAAAACGTTGAAAAAATAATAAAAGCAGAGAGGATTAGGTGTTACGAATAGAGAAGACTAAAGGCAAGTGGTGAACAAAATTTTCAGGACCTGTTTGCAGATGTACCGAATCAAAAAACTATTGAACAAATGGATCTTAAAAGTTAAAGGATTAAATTTTAAAGATGTTATGTCACATTGTATACAGTGCTTTTCGCATTTATTATTTGATTGTGTTTATGTATAATATAACTTTTTCATTAGCCATCGATGATATTGGCGAAGAGAAAATTCCGATTCAGTCTAGATTTTTATTTTGTAAATTCAATATTACTTACAGTCGTACGTTAATAACACATTACATTTTAAAAAGTACTTACCCTTGCTTTGTCGAAAAATGGTGTTAACATAAATGCAAACATAATGAGGGAAATACCATAGAGGACCATTAAGATGAAGATCAGTAGGAGGTTTACATGAACAAATATCTTGAAGACATATAACAGCAAAACGCTTACTGTAGCCAAAAACAGTACGAAAAATGTGTAGATAATAAGCCATGATAACCTAAAAAGCACACATACAGTTTAAGTATATATATATATATATTATATATATATATATATATATATATATATAATATATATAATATATATATATGTATATATATATATATATATATATATATATATATATATATATAATCATGCATACACTCCATGTACCTTACCAGAACACTTTGTCCATTAATCCCATAAGTTTCATTCCTTCCTTTATCTTTTTCTCCTTTTCCCCAACTATCAATATGATTAGATACGTAATGAATTGAGAAAGAGCTATTACCATATAAACTGGAATTAGGACGCGAATCACGTTTGCCCATTCACCAACAGTTGTGGCTGGTTTTGGGCATATTTCCAAAGATATATATGGTATGTTCTGAGTTGGATTATCAAGCTAAAATAAAAATTAAACGTTAAAATATTTTAGACCTGTAGTGGACTAGTAAAATGAAACTTGACGAGGAATAATTTATGAAAAATTGTCCTTCCATATTATTTCATAATAATTATGTAATAAGTTTGTTAAAGATGAAATATAATACTAAACTATCATCACTATATCTTTACAACCCTTCGTGAGTCCTAGCCTCCTGAAGAATTTCTCTCGAGTCATCCATAGGATAAGTCCGGGAAAGACAGGCCACTTTTTTTCTCACTTTGATTACTTGAAAAATTGACTAGTGTATGAAACGATTTTTGGAAAGGAATACTTATTATAGTTTAGATATTTATTATGCAAAATAAAAAACATGTAACTTAAGGAATATAAAAGTTATAGAAATTAACATAAATACTTCTTATTGGCGTATCTATACAAATACGTAGGTACAGATGGGCCATTCCTATTGGTAGAGTTGGGCTAATTTGAAACACATAAAATAATGATGTTAACCTATTTCTCTTTACTAGCAATTTTTCCACATGAATCACAAACATTTTCAAATTTTGTACAGTTGTCATGACACCAGTATTTTCAAATCAAACATTGAACCCAGTCATATTTTCTGGATGTTTTGCGGTAATCTTCACCACAACCAATGCACTCATTTTCATTAAATTCGTCTTCGTCTTCGCTGTCATCTAAAACTGGCACATCTGCATTCATATCGTCATCAGACGAATCTAACTCATACTTTTTATATTGACGCCTTTTGTTTTGATGCTTTGGAACTGTCTTCTGTTTTGATTTTTGTTTCTTTATCTTCTTTTCTTGAATTTTGTCTGCAGAATTAAGAATTTCCGCCACTCTTCTTGCTCTGCCCCTTACATTCTTTTTTGCAGCATCAATTTTGGGTACAATCGATAACGTGTCCAATACTTTTCCAGGTGTTACACATGAGTCTTCAAAATTAGACATACCTACGAGCTGCAATTCCTGTGGCAACAAATCCAGATGTTTCATTTTTCACCGTTACTGAGTTTTTCCACGCATTTCCTAACAACTCACCAAACTGGTAACGTGTAATTTTTCTTGTTGGGTTATTTCTGATATAGTTTTGACATATCGAGTAAAAATTAGCTTTAAAAATTTGAAAAAAAATTTGGTCCAACGGCTGCAGAAAATGCGTGGTATGACTAGGTATGCACAACATTACAATTTTGTTGTTTTTGAAGCATTCTAATACTTCCACTGCTGCTGTATGGGACGTATGACCATCAAATATAAGCAAAACTTTGCCTTGAGGCTTTCGAGGAATAAATATTCTTCTTTTCCATTTTTTTTTAAATGGAATACGGAGGTAAAAATACGCCCTCAGCATTGCAGCAGCTTATCATAGAAATCGTTTCTCCTTTCTCTCCTGATGTAATAACGGGGACATTATTGGATCCTTTAGACGCGAGTACATGTCCAGGCCTGTTATTTAACTGCAAACCTGTCTTGTCTACGTTGAAAATATACCCCGGCTTATTTATTAGTTAACTAGTGGTTAAAATACTTAGCAGCAGATCGAAGTACTGTTTAACTACCTCGGGGTTTAATCCTTTTGCCCTGTCCAAAAAAATTCCTTCCCCTTTTCACACTGAATGGCACTGGATGGCGCCGTAAAAAAGACTGCAACCAGTCAAAACCAGCTTTATTGTTGTTTCTATTAAATTTGTGGCTTACATTAAATTTTTCAGCTAACTCAAACGCCACAGTTCGTACATGGTCACGAGTCGGTGCAAAACCATACTTTTGCAATTTCTTAATATGCAGCACTAATTGCATCTCGATCTCATCCCCAAGATTTGAAGAAGATCCAAGACGATTGTGTTTTTTTAGATCATTATTTTTCATTCTTCTCTGTATGCTACTTCGAAGTTTGCCTTTAGCTAATGCAGCTCGATTTAGTCCCATGCGATTTTCTCTGATAGCTGCAACCGCATTTTGTAGTGTTTCTTCGCCCCATTTACCTCTTTCTGCAGTATATTTTCGCTTATAATATGAAGGTATATTGTAACCTGTAACAATATTGAAATTAATTAATAATACTTATTAAAAAAAAATGTTAAATAATACAAACCCAATACTATTATTATTATCCCATCTATACCGATACACTGTGGCTCGTCTATCCCAAAGGTTCGGTAGAGACGGGTCACGCCATCGAACACAGAATTTAAATTTTATAAGGGTATTTTTAGGTTAGGTTCAGTTGTTTAATCTCAATATAACAGTTGAATACATAAATAATAAAAAAAACTTACCTTTTGTCAAAACTTACACAACTTGAAAATTCACTAAAGAAAAATTTCACCAACAACATATACCTAATTAAGTAAAAAAATCTGCGTTGTTTATGCATACACGTCGCAATGACCACGTTCACAGGGTCTGCCGTTGACTAAATGTTATAAATCAACATTGTCGCACTGCACAATAAACAGAGGATCTACATTATGACGAATTACCCGTCTATACCGATGGCCCATCTCTCCCGGACTTACCCCATATCTCTTATATCTTTATTGAACCTTGTTCTGGGTCTTCCGCTTCTTCTCTGACTCTATCTGTATAAGGCAGAGAAATAAGAGCTAGAGCACAAATTTTTGCAGGTTTAAATTTCTCAATGTAAAAATGAGCGCTCTCTCTAACATATGTGCTTAATTATCAATTAAAAAATGTTTTAATAGTTATTTATGCACCAAGTGTGTTATTAAGATGATTAGGGTTATGTGTTCAACAATTAACCACACGTACACAATAAACCAACCAATCTTTCGTTAGTAATACGCATTTTAGAAAAACGCCGGCACCACTGTACGAATGTACTAGATAACCTAGAACTAAATACCAATTGTTGTTTTGCCATCACTACACGTGCTCGTGTTTTGACGGATTATAAAAATTTGGATGCATCGAATAAAATTTTCAAGGTAAGCTTTATCGCTTTTTTTTCGTACATGCCTGAATTATTTTAATTTATTTTCTGTGGTACGATACACTGATACATTAGTTAATGTTTGGGTATATAATTTTAAAATACACTGTTGTATATAATGAATTATTGTTTTTTGATTGTTACGAGGTTCGGTACGTACACAATGAACCAAACTATGTTAGGAGACAATGAATCATGGTTCATTGCATACCTTTCCAATCTTTTTATTTTTGATTGATTTTTATTTTCAGGATGGGTTGCATTAAGAAAATGGAAAGAAAGAAAGGCGCACATACTGTTGGCAGACGATCAAATGAAGGCAGGATTGGACTTAGTAACCAGAGGTATGAGTATTCGAAAAGCTGCAGTAGAAAGTAATTTATCGTATCCTACATTAAGGCGATACGTTGAAAAAAAAATCTTACTTACTTACTCCGTGGCGTTACAACCCTTCGTGGGTTTTAGCCGACTCGACAACATGCCTCCACTGTTTTGGAGGCATGTTGTCGAGAAAAAAAAATCTGCTCCAAACGAAAACATAAGATTTGTCACTAACTATGAGACGAACATGATTTTCACAAGTGAAAAAGAAGATGCTCTTAAAACCTACTTGAAGACTTGTGCACTTATGTTTTATGGATTTACGTCTATTGAATGTAAAAAGGTTGCATATCAAATGGCTAAAAGGAATATTATGAAAATTCCTGATTCCTGGAAGAATGCAGAAATGGCTGAGAGAGAATCGCTCCGAAGTTTTAGGAACAGGCATACAGATATGTCACTGAGAAAACCAGAGCCGTGCAGCCTGGCACGTGCAACATCATTTAACAAAGATAATGTTTATCTTTTTTTAACAACTTATATGCTGTAATAAAATGATGGCGCAAAAAATTTTTCTGCGGAAAAATTATAAAGATTTCAGTTTAAAGGCACCCCCACTGGCTCCTTAGGCCTTGCTAGGCCAAAAAGATGGATGAATTCTGAGATATTTGTAGAAATATTAAAACATTTAATTATACATAGCAGAAACTCTCCTAATAACCCATCAATTTTAATATTCGATAATCATGAATCTCATTTATCCATCGAAGCCTTAGATTTGGTAAAAGCTGCAGGGGTTAATATTGTAACTTTGCATCCTTACACATCGGCTAAATTACAGCTACTTAACGTTGGTTTATACGCGCCATTTAAGACGTATTATAACAGTGCCCTAGAGTCATGGCTGCTAAGAAATCTTGGTAGGCCCATATCTATTTATGACTTAGCTGAATGTATTGGAATAGTGTACAGCCGTTCCATGACTCCTACAAATATAGCCCATGCCTTTAAAAAATGCGGTATATATCCCTTTGATCGGGATATCTTTACAGACGAGGACTTTTTGCCAAGTGATGTAACAAACAGACAATGTCCAAATGATGAAAGTTCTAATAATACAAGAGACCTTCAAGGAGGCGAACATAACGATGAAATCACTGTAGCAAATAAAAATGACAGTTCTGCAGCTAATAACATTCAATCAGAAAACCCCAAACATACAGAAAGTCAAGCAGGACCGTCATTTATTCCACCACGATAATTTTTGCCTGCATTAAAAGCCCAACTTCGTCAAAATAATAGAAATAAAACAGAAAAAGTAAAAAAGTATCATTGCCACAAATACACCTGAAAAAAACATTATTGAAGAAGAAAGATTGCAAGTAAATGAAAATGGATAAGCTAAGAAGAGAGTCAAATTTGTTAATGACGATAATACAGATTTAGAGGAGAATGAAACAGATATTTCCCTTGAGAGTGATAGTTATAGTGAAAAGTATGAACAAGATCTTCCTATTTTAAATCCAGATTTGTTAAGTATCCAAGGTTTTAACCCTAATGTAGAAAATTATGTCCTCATAGAGTGGTATATTTTGTGGGCAAAATATTACAGATAGAATAAGATGGGGAGTATTGCATATCATTTTTAAGACAAAAGGATAAATATAGTGGCAGTTTGTTATACCCAATGTCCCTGATATAGCTTCCGTTAACAAGAGAGGTGTAAAATATATTTTGCCGAGACCAAAACTATCGGGCAACACAAAACGATAACAATGCGATTTTGCGTTTACAGTAGACATATAGTAGACAACATAACATTATCGACAATATCCCACTCTACCGAAAACCCTCCTCCTCCATGGACTGTAAATAAACCATCAATGATTACGGATCTATTAAAATTAAATTGACATGAATCCTCACCAGCCATATTAATAAACCACTTTGAAAATATTATGGATAGATTTGGCGGCTACCAACAGATATACACAGATGCTTCAAAAACAATCTCCAATACAGAACTATACGCAATCCATGAAGCTCTAAAATTCGTTGACACAACGAACCGGAGACATTACAAGATAATAACTAACCCAATAAATGCCCTTTGTGATATGCAAAATATATACTCCAGCAACACTATTTATAAAGATATCTAGAAAAAACCTCAAAATGCCGTAATGAGGTTGTGGACCGCCTAGCTCACGAAGCAGCGACAAGTGGTAGTTAAGTGAAATAAAATAGTACCAAGTGATCTCAAATTGTGCTTAAAAAACATAGTTGTGCGTTGCAAAACAAGTGGTCGCAGTCTTTCGAAAAACTAAGTCAAATTAAAGACGATACTTTACTCTCTCTCTCTTCAATCCTGACCCCCCAGGGGGAGTGTAGTGGTCGACGTGATGTCGTGTATTGTCCGTCTCCAGAGATCTCTGTCTCTGGTCATTTCTTTTAATTCATGCATAGGTCTTTGGCATATTCCTGTAATTTGATCTATCCATCTTGTTGGGGATCTGCCCTCTACCTTTCCTTGTATTATGAGTCTTTCCATGTTTTCTGTGTTTGCTCTCATAACATGCCCAACATATTTTAATTGTTGGAGATGGACTTTACTAGAGAGTCGTTGGCTAACTTTTAGCTCTCTTAAAATTGAATTATTTGTTCTGCGGTCGGTCCAAGGAATTCGTAACATTCGTCTCCAATAGAACATTTCAGTGGCGTCTATCTTTCTTCTCTCCGATTGTCTCAGAGTCCAAGATTCACTTTATCGCTCTTGAAATTTGACAGTCCTTTTATATTTTGGTCATTTTTGCTGTGGCAACTTTTGCTAGATCAGATCTACGTTTAATCTCTTCTTGTAATGATACTTTACAAAAACAAGCTTTTTTGTTCTTTCACTCGACTCCGACTTTTTCACACCCGACATACACGTCTTTAACGAATCATACGAGTACGAGGAGAACCCCCCCCCATACTGCAATTAGTGTCAAACCAATAGTATATAATAAAACATAATATTTTAAACCGAATGTCAAATTTTCCAGGAAACGAGAAGTAAACTCAACCTTCACAGCAAAATAGGCGAGCTTCTTAGAGACAATAATCATCTAAACACTATCATTAAGTTGTTAATGGCTATAGGGGCATCAAATATATTTAAATTAAAATCTAGTTTGTATCACAAATTATATTAATCTTATTTTATGTTACTATGTAATTAATATTGTAACCTTTCTGTGTTTTAATATGTATTTTTCCACTGTTGTCGTCTATAACCTTAGTGGTCCGGACGACATTCAATAAATAAATAAATAAAAAATATACTCGTAGTCACAGTACTAACAACCGACATTATAAAAGTTATAGTGTAACCGACAATTGTATATATAAAGAAAAACTTACACGTATTTTCGTATAATCTAGTAAAGTTTGAAGAGCCAAAAATCCAGAGAAGTAGTAAGTATTAGTTGGACAGGTACTTCCGTCTTCCATATTTGAATTTGGATTTGAACCGCCTCTGCAAGTTTGTTTACTCCAGCCAATTTGATTAGAATTAGGAGTACTGATATAATAGGGATTTGTACGAATCTGGTAACTGAAAAAATTAAACATAAATTAATTTTATGTATTAATTACAAAAGGCAGATCCTTGCATTATCCATCCAAAACTTATGTTAAAAATTTAATTATAATAATTGTTGATATCTGTCATTGAACCGGTACTTATGGGTACCACATAGAGGCGCTATTAAATTTATTAACACAATTTTCGATGAGATTTACTAGGGAGCTCCGATAAAAACTTAACCTACAAAAAAAATTAACATTTTGAAAAAGTGACGATTTATTTCTCGACATAGTCCCCTTTTAGCTTGATATATTTGACCCAGCGATGATTTTTTCTCTACTTCTTTAAGCCGTCTGAAAAATACGTTTTCCCGTGGTCTGTAAAATAGGCTTCCGTGGCGGCGGTGACACTTTTATCAACTTAAATTTTTGCCTAACGAGTGCCTTTTTTAAGTTTAGAAACAAAAAGAATTCGCAGTTGGTCGAATCTGGAAAATGCGGTGAATGAAGTAACAGTTCCTAGCCAATTTGAAAAATTTTGCCCTGGCGTCGGCGGAGGTATGAGTCATTGTGGAATAACACTTTTTTCTTCGCCAAATGAAGTAGTTTTTTCTGTTTTGCAAATGGACGTCAAATTAGCCCAATGGTGGCCATCACCTTTCCTGCATATAGGACAGTCTTATCCTTCTTTCGAGCACGTTCACCAGTGCCGTCCACTGTTTCGACTGTTCCTTGGGCCCTGGTGTATACTAGTGGATCCATGTTTCTTCGAAAGTTACTAAACGACGTAGAAACTCCTGCGGATTGCGCTTAAATAAAGTCAAACACTGCTCTATAGTGGTCTCACGATTACGTTTGTTGTCCGTAGTAAGCAAACGCGGCACCCTTCCAGCCAACAGCTTTCTCAAACCCAAAGTTTCATGCAGGATATGATACACGAGTTCTTTTAAAATGCCCATTTTCTCAACTATCTAGCGCACTTTCAATCGGAGGTCTGTCAATACGAGGTCGTGGATTTTTGTCGCGTTATCCTCCATGGTAGCCATTTTCGAGGCACAGAAGAGTGGATTATCAAAAACCGACGTGCGAACACGTTGAAACTCGTTAAACCAATTGCTAAAGATTGCCATCGAAAGAGAAAAATCGCGATACACAGCATCGAGCCGCACTTTGATATCGCTACGCGATTTCCCTTCCATAAAAAAGAATCGAGTTACAGACCGATATTATTCTTTTTCCATTTTTCTTTTACAACCGGTCAAAATAAAACGACGAATCAGATTTAACTGAAATTTTGACATTAGTCATTTACAATAAATATTACATGATAGTAGATTTCTCTTAAGCTATTAGCGCTAAAGTATTTAATCAATGTATTTTGCCAGTGATGACCTACGGCGCAGAAACCCTAACGCTCACAAGAACAACAGTGAGTAAACTACAAGTTGCGGAAAGAGCAATGGAGAGAATTATGTAAGGAACTTATCTACGTGATAGAATACCCAATGCTACTATACGCAAAACATCAGGGGTAGCAGACGTTATTGAAAGGATAACAACACTAAAGTGGAACTAGGCAGGTCATGTAGCAAGATCAGTTAATGACCGGTGGACAAAAAGAATTTTGGAATGGAGACCCCGAATACATGCTAACAGAAATAGAGGTCGACCTCCAACGAGATGGACAGATGACATAAAAAGAGTGACTACAAATTGGATTCAAATGGCGCAAAATCGGACTAAGTAGAAAAGCATGCGAGAGGCCTATGTTCACCAGTGGACGATAGAGGCTAGTTGATGATGATGATGATGATGATGATGATGATTAGCGCTATCGAGCAGTGAGGCTAAGTACTTAAGGGACCACCGCGTAAGTGATATTTGGCAGTTGCGCTATCACATATCGTGCAATAGTGTAAGTGTTACAATACTAATGCCGTATTTTTTTATTTTTTACTATTTATATAAAACAAGATATCACAGAATGCCTTGCCATTTGGTATGCGTCTGAGAGTTCCAAAATTTAAAAAATAGTACTTGGAACAATTTCAGTCAGATAAGGGAAAAGAATGGAAGTTATACCATTGACACGTTGACGTTAGAAAACGTCTAACGTTGACGTTAGAAAAATAAGAGTCAGAAAATGACAAAGATTAATGTTTTGAGTAAATTTCTTCTTCTTCTTTTTTTTTGTATGTAGGCTTTAAAGCCTGTTTCTTCTTCAATATTAACTTATCTAATGCTATTCGTACTATTCAATATTTTTTCATTTTACTGATGTGTTCGTTTCACTCCTGTTTTCATTTTGTCACCCATCCATTGATGTCTGTCTTCTATACTGCACGCTCTTCTTATGTTTTCGTTTCACTCTCTATCCAACAGACTTTTCCCTGATATTCGTAGAAGTATTTTCATCTCTGTTGTTTTTAGTAGCCGTCTCGTTTTGCATCTGCGTATATGTTAAACTAGGTCTAATTGCTGCTTTATAGATTATTGTTTTTGTGTCTTGTCTTGGGTGTTTGTTCTTCCAGATTGTGTCAATAAAAAATCCCACCGCTTTACTTGCTTTTAAGCTTTGTTGTCGTACTTTTTCTTAAACATCTACATCTACAGATATTTACTTTGCTTCCTGCTTTATTATTTATCCATCAATTTCGATTTACATTGTAGGGGGTATTTAGATGTTGTCATACATTTGGTTTTTTCCACTGATATTACCATATTGTATTTCTTAGCTGTTGTATTAAAGATATGTGTTAATCTTTGGAGCATATTTGATAATATCATATTGTATTCCTTAGCTGTTGTATTGGAGATATGTGTTAATCTTTAAAGCTCGTCTTCTGTCTCGGCGATTAATGCGGCGTCGTCTGCATAACATGATATTTGGATTTCTTTGTTCCCCATTCTGTAGCCATGACCTACATACGTACGTACGTACTGCTTGTATTATTTCGTCCATTATTATATTAAAGAGAAGTGGGCTTAACGAGTCACCCTGTCTGACTCCGCTTTGTACTGGTATACACTGTGTTAGTTTTCCATTTATCTTTGCCTGTATTCGGTTATGGAGGTAGATATTTTCGATGGTTTGTATAATATACGACTTGGATGAAATCGAAAGCCTTTGTCAGGTCTAGAAAACATAGATATGCTGATTTATTGTACTCGATGGCCGTTTCTGTGATTTGTCTTAGTACAAATACGGCGTCTAGGCAAGATCTTCCGGATCTGAATCATTGTTGTTCATCTGATAAAGTTGTTAGTTTATTGATTTTGTTGGTTAGGACGTTAGTGGTAAGCTAAGTGCGGTGTTGAGTAGATTTATACCTCTATAATTGTTGAGGTCTTTTTTATCTTCTTTCTTGAACGTTGATATCATTATGCTGTTTCTCCATGCCTCTAGTATCTTGCAGTGCAATATTAGTTTTTGTATAATTTTTGTCATCTCAAGGGTTTTACTTTCTCTTTCGTGTTTGGAAGCGTGTTGAATATTTTGTTTGGTTCTGGAGACTTTCTATTTTTGAGTGAATTTATGGCTATTTCTACTTCCTAAAAACTAATTTCTATTTTGTGTCTTAATTCAGGTACGGTATTGTGTTGATTATTATTTTCCTTTGCTTTAAACAGTTCCGTCAGGTATCTTTCCCATTCTTCTGCTGGTATGATATTATATTCCTTCAATTCTGCCATTTCTGTCTGTTGGTGAATGAATCTTCATATTTGTTTTTGTGTACCGTAGAAGTTGCTTTCCATCCTCTTTGTAAGCTTTTTCCAGTGTTCATTTTTTTGTGCTTCTTACCAACTGCTTTGTTTCATTTCGTATTCTTTTATAGTTGTCTCGGTATTATGAGGTATTTGATGTTTTGTACTTCGTGTGGACCTCTTGTTTCTCTTTACATTTCTCTTTTATTTCTTTTTTGCGCCATGGTGTAGTGTTATTGTTTCTTTTGTTTAGTATGACTTTGCGTTTTCCTAAAGGTTGTGTTGCTGCTTCTTCAATGTTGTTTTTAATTTTACGAGAAAATTTACAACAGAAAAATTTTTTTTATGGACGTCAAAAGGTAAAAATTTCAAAATTTTTCCTTTTTTATTATTTTGACTATGGCAAACAGAGTAATACCCGTTTCAGCTCTGATTTTTTCCATATTTTACTATGGTTGCGAGACTAGGACGATTAAAGAATCGGATAGACGACGCATAGACGCTTTTGAAATGTGGACATGAAGACGACTACTTTAAAATTTATGGTCGGTTCGCACACAAATATCTTACTTCTAGCAAATAAACCCAACTAACATCTTTCTATTACAGTTTATTTTAAAATTTTAAAGTTCTCTGATCATATCCATCGAAGCGATCACAAAATGGAGCGGTTTTTGTTCCAAGGAAAACCTTAGAGTCAGCGACTACGTAGTAAGACTCCACAGCGATGACTAGACATTGCAAAAAAGCTTCTCAACCTACAGTATACTGAGGCAGCATGTATAACAGTTATCAGAGACCAAAGGAAAAAATCATTAGTCAAGCTGTCAAACTGCTAAAACTTAATGATAAACTACAGCACACCTGTCAAGATGTTAATGACTATAAAGATATCTATAGATTATATAGATTGTATAAAATCAATCTGTTTATTTGTAGTGATAAGATTAACTGTCTGTATTGTCTATCTACATCTAATCTAAATTAATTGTCCTTGAACTCTCATTCCAAAATTAGACTTTAGTGAAAGAATTGAATATTTTAAATTATTCTTTAACTTAATTGTTATTCTACGATAGTTAGATGTCCTCTAGTCGATAACTATCTAATACTATTTGCTTTAAAATTATTATCGTTTAGATAAGTTTCCCTGAATAGAAAGATGTCAGGGTTTTCAAGTTTACTAATAATTTGACACTTTTCAATATTAAATCATGAGATTGAAAATACTTTAATAGAATAATGCTGATACCTAGTATTACCCATAAAACTAAGTACGTGTTCGATAAAATCTTGCATAAAATCTAAATGATATATATCTTATTGTTGTTTATACTGCATTGCTTTGCCTTTTACGTTTTCGTGATATTATTTCTTAAAGCTCTCTTCCTTAATTTATGCGCATACTGTAAAATATACGCGTGCATTTCTTGTATTGGAAACAGGGATAGTTTTTAAACAAGTATAAATGAAAAAAAAAAAGAATATCACGAATATATTAAGGTAGAAATAACAAACAAGGCGGCTACCAATGCGACTCATACCAGTAGAACTCCTGGATCAAGTGAAGAATAAAATGGAACTTAAAATGAAAAGAATTCTTTGATTTTTAAGGATATTGGGTTAATTATACCCCTTTTTTTTTCTTAATTTATTCAATGGGTCCTTTTTTTACGAGCTGTCTTACTGAGTTTGTACGCAAATAACTTTTTGTAGTGCTAGTTTTAAAGGTATTTTCATGGAATATAAAAAACTTTGATATTATTACCCCCTAAAATTAACACTTTTCTTACAATTTAAAGTTAAATACATTAACCCAAATATTCGGAATAAAACGATCTCTTTTCACCGTTTATATATCACTTGGTATTGTCTTTAAAACCGTTTGTAAAAAATTATTCTCATTCTTCTTTTATAAGCTTTATTTTAATTTTGTATATTTTTTCTATCAAAGGCATATTTTTGAGTTATTCATGAAAAACTGATAAAAAACTTATTCTGAGCAACAGAATTTTTAACCCTGAGACCGGTTGGCAACCACTCCTAAGACGAAAGTATTGGTATTTGAGCACTTTCCCAACATCTCACCAAATTTCAGGTAAATCGGTACAGTCCGACAAAATTTGGAGGTGAATAGCCCAAGTGACTTCAGTATTTCTATTTACCGAATTTCTTTCTATTGTTAAAGTTTAGTTTATATAATTCTGCTCTGAACAAGGAGAATAAATAACATAAATATTCGGCAACTTTAAAAATATTAAATACTGTTAATATTAGGTAGGCTCTAAAGATTTATTGCAAAAAAAACAAGTACCTTAGTGAGTATGACATATAACTTGGGGAACCATTATTAAAAATCACTGCTATCGGTGCAAATTTATGATCTTGATCATACGCATTCTGGACCTCTTCCTCTGTACTGTAGGGGACCCATTCTAAATTGGATTTGGAATTGCGAATAGATTTCCATGTTTCGGATACTTCGTCGACAAATTCCTAAAATAGTTAATTTTTCATTATGTATTTTTTAAAACGGTAATTATTTCTATCAGAAAACACTACGTTATTGAGAAACAAAAAGTTTAAAAATAAAAATATTATGTTTGCTATTATGAGTCGACTACCCATAGGTACCCCAAATATTTGGCGGTAAAATTTACCAATAATGCTAAAATAGGTTTGTTAAAATTATATCTTATAAGTAATAAAAAACTGTCTTTAGCGAATTGTCTTTAGAGAATAATGTTGTATAATTCTGAATTAAATTCAATCTTAATTGTATCATGTTAATACCCAGATTTATTGGTATATTGATAAATAAAGATATAGCATCTAACAAAATTACAGTATAGCCCAAAATAGACAATTGGTTGTTTGTAGTGCCCGTTTAAAAACGGCAGTTTTAGCTATGCCCCAAATGTATGTGTCTGGAGATGTTAAGTCTGGAAAATGTGCAGGATAGAGGAAGTCAGTAAATCGTAAAATTAATTTGTTTGGAAAATGTCCCTAAAGAAATTAATGAACTGCAACAGAAGTATGGCAAGTTGCATCATCCTTCTGGAAAAATTGGTCAAGAAATGTGAAATTACGTGCACGACAAAATTGACGTAGATCAGTGATAAAGCTTGTTAAAATGTGTATGTACCTCTGTTGATTAAGTGTGACTTGCCTACCATTTTCATACCAAACATACCAAAGTATGGACTAACGATTCCTTGTCCCAAAACTGCACACCAAACACGCACTTTTGCGCTATGTAAAGAAACTTTTTGAATATCACCTGTCTGGCAAAGCCCAGAAATCGATTTGTGCAATGATTAACATAGCCTGACAAACAAAATGTGCTTTGTCTGAAAACCATACGTTTTTTAAAAATTCTGGATATTCATACTGTAATGCAAGAATTTTGTCATAATATTCCACTCTACTGTGATAATCCCTGGGATGTAATTGTTGATGCACTTTAATCATATACGAAAATGTACCTAGCTGCTTTGGGATTCTGTGCAACAAAGTTCGTTTTAAGCCAAGATGCAAGGCTGTTCTTGTTTGGCTGGCTTTCGGATTTTCCAAGATTCGCTTAAAACACGTTTATGGCTATCGTTGTTGTTAACTGTACTGGCACGCCCTGAGTTTCCTTTTTGTTGGCACAATACATTACTCGTATTTCTGAACTTTTCAACAACCTTCAAAATTAAAGCATTATTTCAAAAAGGTTTATAAAACCGTTGTGTGAATTAATCACACATGTATTGCAGACTTGTGCTATTACGTCGGCCGATTCCGTATGAGCGAAAATATTGCTCCACAAGAAACACTTTCTCCTCTGTACTTAACACCAGTTTTAACAATTAGGCCTTAAAAAATAATTTTTTAAGGATTAATTGACAGGTCTATACTAGTTCATTTGAATATGACAGCGCGCACATAGAGACATCTATGTTTCAGTTTCAGTACTATTAATTTTGAGCAATACTATAAAACATAATTTTTCTTCTTCTTCGTTTTTTTTTGGGTTTCGATTATATTAATCATTTACCCAGTACATGTAAGGTTATGCTCGTCTTGCTCTAGGCAATGCACAACCTACGCACAAGGGATAAATTTCTACTTCACTTTACTGCTAATTGGCAACTGGGTGATATTGAAACATCGAGTTAAAATATATGGAGAAGCTATGAGCATATTAACGTATGTATTAAAAACGGCGTAGGTAGGCGTGGCTAACGATAATACCAATATGGCGGTGGCTCAATAATATTAAAACTACTATACAAATATGACTAGTTATTCAGAAGATTTAATTATAATCTAAAAAAGTGCAATACAATTTTAATAAACTATGATTTATTTATCCCGCGGTAAACACTAAAAACACGATATATTATACATAAAAATAAATTAATACAGTCAAATACTATTAATTTATTCTCTAAAGTACGGACCATTACTTTGTTTACAAATTTGTATACTAACCTGTGGAACGATATTCCTGAAGATTTTTTATTAACATTGTTTCTGCTATTGCAACTACGTTGAGAACACGAAACCATTATTATGCACTATCAAAATATATTATTACAGTTTCTATAAAAGTATTATAAAACTAAAAATATTTGAAAAACAACAAATGTAAACAAATAGATACTGTCTGTCAAAAGTGTCAAAACAATATTAACAATATGGCGAAGTGAGGTCGATTTTAGTCACGTGATGCCCGCTCCATAGATTCTAACTCAATGTATTGAAAGATCACTTTTTCCATTTGTTTATCTTCTTTCATTTCATTTCATTCATTTCTTCTTGATTAGACTTTTCTCGTTTGGGGGTAGCTTCCAAACACTGCCACATTAGGTTTATGGGTAATGCTACCTTCAGTTATAATTAGGGATTTTAAGGACGTAAATTGTTGTATGTTAGGATATTTCCAGTATTTTCTAAATTTATTTTATTTTTTTAATTTTGACAAGTAAAAAAATTTTTTTATAGATCGATTTTAAAAAAATTTGATAAATTTTTCGGTAGAACCAGTTCTCTGACATTATTAACAAACGTATACAGATTGAACGAAATAAATTCGGAACATACGAAATATTATGTATTTCGTCTCAATTCTGCTGTAGGTGGTTGGCCAACAAAAGGTTGTCAAATAATTATATTATAAAAATCCAATACTTCAGCGGGCTGCTGGATTCTGAACTAATTCAAGAACTCATTTATAGGTGGTCAAACGACTTATCGCTTCCTAAAGCCGGCCACTCACGGTATATAAATCTCGTCTGCCCCTGCACCCGATTTACTGGACTGCACTGCTAATTTTAATTCTCTTTTATAGGATGTTCTAAAATTGTTAATTTTTTTCTTACATACTCTTCATTTGCATCTTTGTTTACTTCTTGGAACTTTAAAACTAGAATGTTTTACCTTTTATTCGCTATAAGCCTTCTTGTTTTTCATATAATTTAAAAAACTTTCTTAAAAAATTCTCGCTAAATCAAGCCATTTCGATTTTCTATAATATGATTAAAGCAAGTGTTGTAGTTAAAGACGAAGTTGAACAGCGCCGCTGTATCGTGAGTGGCCGCCTTTAGGCAAGCCCCTCTTTCGTTTATCGGAGATGAAGATTTTGAGCGGTGTTGCCAATATCATTTCATTAGATGTTTCTAAAATAACTACAAACTTCTGAAATAACTACAAACCATAAGTTTACGCAAATCGGATTATTACACGGCGATTTGCAACATTGACTTTGAGCTGTGCTCTAGACTATGGTACGTTCTAAAAGAAGACTGATAGTTGAACGATATTTTATACAATGTCTAACACCGGGTATGGATTTATTTTTGTCTAAGTTTTATATTGGTCCACTATTTCAAATGCAGTTCAAACAGACATGTATTAAATTGTATGATCTGTTTTAAATTCGTTCATCTGTATGTATCTTTTGCATTATGTGTCCCTTAAAGTTGTTCACAGTCAAAAGCGTCTTTGAGAATGTTAGCAAGAGATTTGGATAAGTTATATCTTACTGAATTTATAGAGCTTTTCATGGGTCTAAGTAGTATCCCTTCTTTATGAATTTTTGGTAAACGGATAACAGGGTGATACAAAAGTGTTTATTGACAGTGACAAAGTGACAAAAGAGCATCCAAATGAGGTAATACTGTATATGATCATATTTAAAATATTTTGCAAAATACTAACCGTCTGCCATTTTGCTTGTTTACGTCACTAAAATATTTTAACAATTTGCAAGTAATTACAGTAAAAAATAAAAGCAGATTGAGGCTAAAACTGAGATAGATAATCTTTTAGACAAAACATGAAGAAAAATGAGGCAAGAAATTGGAAACAATTGGTAATGATCAGGAATGATTGGCATAACGAATTAAAGAATGTTCAATTAAGGTTCTAGTATACATTATAAAGATAATGCTAACAGGACCCTTACTTAAATTACTCACAAATTTATTAATTTATATCATTATGTATTCATTTGCAGCGCCAATATTAGTTTCTACTCGTTAATGACCAAACATTATGTTTTGTGTAGGTAAAAAAGTACAAAAAAATAAATACTTACTCTGTATTTTGTTGAATTTGGTGCATAAGCTATTTTGTGAGATTCAGCTTTATTAAAAGATTTAAATAAATATTCTTCTCCTCTTGGAGTATTGATTTCTGGTAAATTTGGATCCGGCAAAACTAACTCAATAACAACCAGAAGACCAAGAAAGTATAAGGGGAACAGAATTTCCTGCAAATAAAAGGGTGTTTAATTATTATATATATATATATATATATATATATATATATATATATATATATATATATATATATATATATATATATATATGTATATATGTATATAATATCGATATAGCATAACCATTATTTGCTTTGCCTTTATCTCTATGCGCGATCGGCTTCCATAATTATATTTCTCCTTAAGTTTCCGTCTTGGGTCAACATAATACCAATTCCTTTTACCGACATATCCTGCCTAAGCGTTTGTTTTTAGATCTTTCTTTTATCTTCTCCTCCTATTCCTCTTAGGAACTTGAGAATCAGCAATTCGTCGTATTGGAGGATTAATGTCTCGATGTTAAACATTCATTAATCATCTTAACGCATGATCTCTCATTTTGGCAACAATTGTGTTTAATTTAACTTCTAGCCTTACCTTTTTTCGGTAAATATTTCCTGATCATCAGGAGAACCTTATAAGATTTGAATTAAAAAAAAAAACAAACCGTCGAACTGGCAATTATTATCAAACAACGTATTAGTGTACACCTGTGGCGATGTATTGAAGGTTTTTGTCCTGACGATAATAAGGAAACCATAAAATACGTATATACGTTAAAATAAATCCACTTCTTCTGTTTCAATGACCTTTATCAATCGTGGGATACAATGCTAGATTCCATGTTCGCTATCGTAACTTTATTGACACTAGCTCTAAATGATGATGTAGTCGATTTTTCGTAGCATTTTGTTACATTTTTCAGCCATGATGTTCTTTTTCTATCAGGATCATGTTTACTCTGGATCTTTCCCTAAATAATCAGATGCAAAATTTTTTATATTTTACAGGATCTTATAATTTAATCTAAGTATTTAATCTTACGACTATTTAATATATTAACCAGTATATCCTCATAAAAAAGCTAATGGAGTCAAATCTGGAGGCCTTGATGTCCATTCAATAGATCCCCTTCTCCCTATTCACTTCCAAATTCGTACCTCAACGCCGTAGTGAGTTGGAAATATATGATTTAGCTGTGGCATCAGATAATCTTGAAGAAATTGTATATAACGAGAAGTTTTCCTCAAAAAAAATATTGTGTCAAAACATGATTGTTTATCCTTCTCAGAACATTGTGTTCTGTCTTCTTCCATCTAGTGTGAATTTTTAAAGGCCCAATATATATATATATATATATATATATATATATATATATATATATATATATATATATATTAATATATATGTATATATATATATATATATATATATATATATATATATATATATATATATTCTTCATTTGAAAAAGTACCTTTTCTATCAAACTTTGATCTCTGTTACACCGTTGAATAATAGTTTTGCAGAATTCGACTCTTCTATCAAAGTCATCTTTTAACAGCTCCTCGGCCAGATGTCCTTGTTCAAATGCCACTTCTTCTTTTCTAGCACCCGAACAATAGTTTATTGTTAACCACTATTATCTAGTGCGACCTGCCTCGTACTGGTAAGGCGATTTTCGTAAAACGGTAATAGGTACAACTTCTAGCTTGCTAGCTTCGGGTATTGAATTTCTACCACTGCCGAGAAGATGTTTAGCATGACTCGTATCATTCATGTTTTTTTTTCAACTTTGCTAATTGTTAATATCTGCAAAAAACTCGAGCAATAAAAAGTTGACGTCTAGTAGTTGACAGATTAATAGATCATTTACAATAAAGACCAGTCAATGAAATTGAATACTTGACTGATACTAAAATAATGCAAAATTGTTATCAACAAATTTATTTCTTTTTCGGCAAAAAATACAGTGGCGGTCCTTAGTGTAATTGAGTTTAGTATTGTAATTCCATTTCACTTAATTAAGTACATAATTTTGGTTAATCCTGTAGAAATAATATTTGAATTGTACATCGTTGCAAAGGCGATTAGAAGACCTTTCAAGTGAAGTGTCTGGTGACCTCGTTTTGTATTTACAAAATTCGTCGACTCCATTATTACGCCAACACTGACGACGTAATATTCAACACATGTATAGTAAGTGATGATCATTCAAAAATTAAAATTAAACTATTTTAAGATTATTTTAAGTCATCTGTTTCTGAAACAATGAATATATTCCATACTTTTGTACCAATTTACGAATGCTTTCTATGTCTGCTAATGTCAGTTCTCTTATATCAAAAACTGATATAAATCTCTTTTTCTACTTCAGTATGTTTAAAAGTAAATAGATTTAAAAAGTAATTAATAAAACTATTTATTTAGATATTAAATATTAACAAACTAAAATATGTATACTTACACCTATGGTTTTTAATTTTTGCCTTTTCTTTAATAATAAATTCCTTTTGAGCATCGCTTTTAATTGCGAAAAAAAAAGTGATTTGGCTTGGTCAGCCATTTTAGCGTGCTTACTTAGATCTTGTGATTGTATGAGTTTTATCTGAAAATAACAAAACGTGTAAGTAAACAAAGTAGTTTTTAGAAAATCCAGATAATATATCAAATTTTGTGAGATAAGTCGTGATTTATCGATAAGTAGTAATGATGCTAAGGAGAGCATCTACAAAAGTTTCATATTAATTATAATAAGTTTAGAATACCGAAATCTACGATTTAAGATGTCAACTAAGACTTTTCTTCGTAAAATAGGTTGCTAAACGGAGTGAAAACGATTTGAGGTTCAAAGTTTTATTTAAAATCCTTTATAAAAGGTATAAAACTAAAAATTCCTTACGCAGTACATTACAGAACGTTTTCAGGCTGAGACCATCATCAACATGTTACCTGGGATAAGTATAACCACTCTAGTAAATGCAAACGTAAAGCTAAAATGTTGACTAAGGTTGAAAAGCAATGTGGTTACATACTTACCAGGTGTACATGACTTATAAATATCTGGGAAAAATCCCTTAAAATGGTTCAAAATTTATTAATAGTTACATTTTTCTAGAAAATATGTTGTCTTAAAGTTTTTAAACAGATAAACTGAATGGCAACGTAAGACTAATAGGGGTTGTATGGTATACAGTTAACTACAGGAATTTCTTTTTCCTTATATATTTGAGGTCAGTTGAAATATTGGTCTGATATTATTTTCTCTAGATCTTCTGGTACTTAAGATGCACCTGTGAGGTTCCTTTTGGTCTAGTTTTTTACATGTTTTATTCTTCTCTTAGTAAAATCCTTTAGGCGAGATGGCATCACAGAACAGGTTTCAATTTGTAAGTCGATTTCTTAATCTAAGTAAAAACAGAGATGTTAATTTTAAACCCGATATATTTCACAGCTTTTTCTGTAGTATAGTGGAGTATTGATCGACATTAGTTTGAAATTAAGAGCCTCTTTTTTTGTTTGTCTTATAGTTAGATCTAAACCGCTTACATTATTGATGAGTAGGTCAGGAGTTTAACTTTGTGTAGATAAATGCAAATTCTATTATTTTAGATTCGGGATGCAAATACACTAAGTGGAAAAAAAGGGAATTATATACGTATATTTAGTAGAATTAAATAATTTTTGTCATATCGACTTATCTTGCCATAACAACAAGTGATAAAATTTTTGGGTTTATCTGTTTTTTTTTTTAAGTTTTTGTTGTGGCTGTGTGAATTGTTTGATAATAAACAAGCATTCAGTTTTCGTGAATTTACGGTTTTCGTTAAATTTTTAATTTCATGTAACTGATTAAGAAACCCATTCTGATTACTTAAAACACGTACAGTGCGTAGAATTTACTAAGCTTAGTCACTTTAAGAGGGTCCAAATTGTCCGATTGCAGTGGGAACCGCAAGCTGTGTACTGCTAACTAACGAATGTTCATACAGGAAGGCTGAGGACATCTAGCAAGAGATTCTGGACGTCACAGAGGAACCACAGAGCAGCAAGATCGCCGATTAAGACTTCTGGCTCTAAGATACAGATTTACTAGTACCCATATTCATCATCATCCAGCCTCAAAATTCTACTGCTAACCATAGGCTTCTTCCTTGTTTTTTCAACCTCGTCTTTCTTCAACCACTCTTATCCAGTTTTTATTTTCTCTTCTAAAATCGTCATTTAGACTATAGCTTATGCTACATCTTATCGATACTACTGTACGGAGTAGAGACTTGGACTTTAAACAAGAGCAATATCGATAAACTAGAGGCCTTCGAAATGTGGATGTATAAAAGAATTTTGAAAATACCTTGGACAGACAAAATAACAGATAGTGTAGTTAATCGAAGAATGAACAAAGAACGGGAGCTGTTGATCACCATTAAGAGAAGAAAGCTGGAATATCTTGAACATGTGATGAGAGGGAAAAAGTACAAATTGCTCCAGTTAATTATCCATGGAAAAATTCAGGGCAAACGAAGCGTGGGGAGACGACGTATATCTTGGCTGCGCAATTTAAGAGACTAATTTCAGTGTACATCTAACCAATTATTTAAAGCAACAGCTTTAAAGATACGAATAGCAATGATGGTTGGAAAACTATATCTCCAGCCTAATAATTATATATCCAAAAAAATAATAATTCTATTTCGTATCAAATAAATATTTTTGCGCCGGTTACCTAAATAAACCCAGTCTACCTAGACTTTCTTCTGAGAATGTTAATCCCCGCCCACAGCGCCTACTTGACGATAGACCGGCTTTTCAAAATGCATAAACAAAAAAATATTCCAGCGAGGCTAGTGATTTAGCGACTTTCGTAGAGCTAACATCTATATTTCAAAAGTTCGGAGAGGATTCTCCACGTTGCAGTTTACGCAATTGACCGGGAAGCCGTAATATGTGAATAAGTGTTATGCTGTTTTCGCTTTCGTTCGCAAATTGTAATATTCAAATTAAGTTCCTACGATAAGTTACACACTCAAATTTTATAAGCTCTATTTCTTGCCCTCTTCTTTTTTCAATTACAGTTTCTTTCTAAACAAGTAATTGTTTTATTTTACTATATCAATTCAACAGGCCAGATAAAAGCAACTTTGAAAGTCCATTTTAGTTTCTCTACTGAGCTGTCGAAGGCTAGCGGAGTAATTGGGCTTACAGCAAGAACAAAGCCGCTGAAAGAGACACTGTTGCATATAAGCCTCTCCATGGAAGGAATGTTGTAAACCGGCACCCTCCAATGATGATTGTCAAACTCCGTAGCGGAAAGGTCACTTGAAGAAGAAGAAGATTATAGCTAGATATGGATATACCAAATTATTAGACAATATATACCTAAAGGCCACAAGCACTGTCAAATTACATATTAATAGTAATCGCATAAGTAAGGAGCGAGAGGTTAGACGAGGAGAACCAATGTCAGCCGACTTTTTTAATACTGTGCTGAATCATGTTATTACGAATTTAGATTGGCTGAAAAAGGGAATACATATAGACGGAGAATATCTTAAAAACTACCATTCGCCGATGATATAGTCATAGTAGCTGAGGATCTAGGAGTGGCAAGAGAGATGGTATATCTCTCCTAATTTCGTTGTGGCTACAGAAAATGTACGTTTAAATATAAACATCTCTAAAACAAAAATAATCACAAATTTGGTACCCAACCAGAACTTCAGTATTGATAGGCAAGAAGTAGAACTCGTAGATAAATATAAATATCTAGGTCATAGAATTATAATTGGCAGGGATAATCAGACCCATGAAATGAAGAGAAGAATCGGTCTTGAGTGAGCAGGATATGGAAAACTAAGAGAAACTTTAAAAGTGAGCTGCCCACATGCCTAAAGTAAAAAGTATTTGATCAATGCGTCTTCCCAGTATTAACATATGGAGCAGAAATACTTTTGACAAAAGCTTCGGCTACCAAACTCAGAGTCAAAACAGAGAACACTGGAGCAATCCATTTTAGGAATCACACTGCAGAGCAAAATAAAAAACGAAGAGGTCAGGAGAAGAACAAGGGTGACTGACGTCATCGAAAGGATAGCTAGATTAAAATGGATATCGGCAGGACCTATAGATAGAATGACAGATGGGCTACGGACAAAGAGGTTATTGGAATAGAGACCAAGGGAAGATAAAGGAAGGTCTGTCTCCCACCTACACGATGGGCTGACAATTCAGTAGTACTCGAGCCATCGCAAATAGTTGGTTGAAAGAGCATTAAAGGATGGTTATTATGCGTACGGTATATCGTTTAATACGATATTTTACCTTTTTTGTTATCGCCCACATTGGGTGCTGAATATCGGCGTAACCGTTTGCTCTAGAGAAAGACTTTTATAGGACAGGCAATGGAATCAAGTGGTCTTTAGTGGCGAATGTCGCTTCTGCCTGGAGATGCACGATGATCGAATAGGCATGAGAAGGCGGCATGGGGAAAGACGTGGCCCACAATTTGACAGAGTAAAATATTTACCACACCGTGGAAGTTATAGTATGGGGTGCTACTGCTTATGACAGTAGATCACTTATTTGCATCAGAGGGAATATGACAGTTTGACACTATATTCATAAGTAGTGAAGCCTCATCTTATTCCGTACTTAAACACCATCCAAAATCCCTATTTTCCAGCATGACAAAGTCAGACCGCATGCTGCCAGAGAATTGTCTTTTGCCTTTATAAATCAACATCACATAAACCATTTACCTTGGCCACTACGATCGCCTGATCTTTCTCCAATGAAACATGTCCGAGACTCGATAGGTCACAGGCTCTTGAATTTACATCACAGGCGTGTCAATGAGTATATAAGAAATCGTGGATCCTGAACGCATTATTAAACCAGCTTCTGCAGTAAGTTGACAAATGAAGTTGAAAAATTATTCATTATACTAGTAGTAAGTGACACTAAACATGTATACGAAAAATTATTAAAATCGGATAAATATATGTAGGTGTTTACTTGTCTTTGTCACTTAGTATATTATATTTAGGTCCTTTATTGTCACCAAGAGCTTTGACTTCGTCGCAGAGTTTTAAGTTTTCCTCGAAATAAAAAATGTTGCTTTTCTCTTTTTTTTGAAACTTAGTTTTGGTTTAGCATTCGTAACGTCTACTTACGCAATCTTAGAGCATTATTATTAATAGTGGCACTTATTAGTGAGTTACTAACTGTGACAGACTTTTCGATGTTATTGGTACTCATGTGATCAAGTGCAAAATTTTGTTAAAATTTATATTCATACCTGTAGTAAGCAACATTTCTTATTGTAATGTGTGTTGTCTATTTACAACAACTGCTGCGTAGGAATTATAGTAATTGCAATCTTATCAGTACGTAATTATAGTAAAAAACAATATTTATAGACTATAGATTATAGTCTATAAATATTGTACTAATTTATTATTTACCTGCAACACGCTTTGTGGAGCAGTTGGTTATTTTCTCAGATTTTCTATTAATATAAGTAAATATTTTCTTTACATTAGAAAATTTAGAGAAAAGAACTGTACT